CCCTCTCCATTGGACTTCAGATTCCCACACCCCAATCCTCCTCCTCCCCCTCATCCACCATGGTACCTCTCTTCTACTAAATAAACAGGCATTCCCCAGCACAGACCCTGAGCCAACTCTAGAGCAATAAATTTCCTCTAAGATGTCAAGATAGCATACAAAATTGATGCTTTTGGATCTGCTTTTCTTATCAAAAAAGGTCTACCCCAATTCGACCTCCCAGGTTAGGTCCTCTTACTTAGGATCTCATGAATATTGGTTGCGTCTCATATATATACTTAAAGGCCAAAAATTGGCATATACACATGCACAGAATACCCTTTGTTATGTGATTAGGCTATGCTAAGTAGTCACCATAGTCACCATAGTCCTTGCCTAAAGACTGAGGCCAGTCATGCCAGCTGCTTCATAAGGACTGGCCAGATTGTTCCCACTTTACAAACTTATAATTTGGTCTTAAACAAAGAAATCAATGTTTCTGTGCCACCTGGCAGAGGACACAGTTTCTGTTGTGATGGTTTCTTCTTATTCTTTCTTCCTTTTCTTTCAACAAAGTTTTGCTACTGTTTTGCAATTTTGTCTCTGTCCAGTTTTCTGTTCAGGTGACACAAGAACTCAGAATCTTCTGGAGTAGTGCCTTAGACCACTCAGATTAGCCAGGCAGGAGGTTATCAGTCTTTGGAAGGTAAGATCCCAGACCTTATACTTCCAAATGCCATCTTCACCATTTGGGAAATGACTAATACTGGTTTCATGGCTACTTCCAGGGAAGCGAATTTCCACACACCAACCTACCTGCAAGAACATGCAGTCACACCCTAGTGGAAGCTGAATGGAAAGGGATTTGGGATCCAGAAACTTCTTAGCAACAATTCAACATCTTTTCCCTTTCTCCCAGTCTGGATCTGGTGAGCAAGAAAACTCAGACCAGATCAGGCTTGGTAAACTAAGGAATGCCTCCTTCTCTTGTTTTCCATCTTTATGGTAGCTAGGCTACCAGGCTGCAGTTTATGTTGAGTGCTGAACCTAGAGCAGTCTCTCCAGACTAAGCTGTCCCTCAAGCAATAGCATGGAGCACTAACCTAGAGCACAGAAATGGGCTCAGAGCAAGGCTAAGACTTGGGCACCATTTTGCAGGTGCCTCCAGGGTGGGGCACACGGGCTCAGAAGTCAGTGCCACACTCTGCTTTCCTCAGCTGGCTTGAGCAAGGATGCAGCTCCCTCCCTCCAGACCTTAGAGGCAGGGCAACCAAACCAGGAGCTCAAAAGCTGTATCACAATCTAGTGCCTTTCCAACTTTCTTAGCTGTTCTCTTTGCAATTTCCCTAACTCTTTAGTTGCCAAACACCTCTCCCAGTTATAAAGACCTATCCCAGCTCAGTTTGCTCTGGACATTTGTTAGTACTCTGGACTCTGAATCCAGCACTGTATCCCAAGACCCCCCATACAGGGTCAGAGACATTGTCTCCTGGAGGAAGCCAAACAGAAAGAAGGGTAGCCAATTTTGGAGACATCCCGAAGTAGAAAACTTTCATATAGATCCAAATTGGGCCCTGAGCATCTTTGGAAGTTCCAAAAGCTCCAGGAAATCTGTTTTTCTTTTCTCCTCTCAGCTGCATGTGGGGAGGCCATTTGTGTGTCTGGTGTCATGAAGGCTCTCCTGACATTATTGTTAAAAGTGGAAACCACGGGGCTGGGATGTAGCTTGGTGGTACAGCGCTTGCCTAGCATGCGTGAGGCCCTGGGTTCGATCCCAGCACCAAAAAAGAAAAGACAAAAAAAAAAAAAAAAAGCGGAAACCACGATACCTTTTTTTTCAAAATATTTTGAAACATTCTTTCACATCTTGTGGTCCCAGAAATCCTGACATCAGAATCTCCTAGAAACTATTAACAATAAATATTTTGAAAGCATTCTTTCAACATCTTGTGGTCCAGAAAATCCTGACATCAAGAATCTCCTAGAAACTATTAAACAATACAATTCCCGTCCAGAGGAAGGTCAGGCCTCCTGGAGTGCCTTCCGTGTTCCCTTCAGTGCAGCTTCACACGTGCAGTGTTTAGGCAATGTGCTGTGGCTCAGCCACTGTGGGTTACACACTAAGTTCTTTTTCCTCCTCTAGATGAGCCTGAGTCAGTTTCACTTTCCAGTTTCCTCTTCTTTCACTAACAGATCACTCATGAACAGGGAGAAAGCATCAGCTGATATACCACACCCTGTGATTCCACCTTATATAATGCCTTGGGCATTTGCTTGAGGCAGAAGGGGACAATTTTTGAACATGTCCCCACTTTCAGAGCAACAGGGCAGCAGGTAACAGTTTCTGAAGTCGTGAAGTAACATAGACCGCAACTCTTGTTCTTGAATGCAAATTGTAACTGAGCCTCTCACTCTGCAGGGAAGTTTTCTGGGAATTATCTGTTGCTTATAGATTGAACAGTTGTTTTGCTTTCTTCTCGTGTGGCTTTCTCTGATGTACATGCTCAGGCTACCTAAGTTTCTAGAACTTAGTCAGCTGGTAGCTAGAATGAAAGGGAACCTTGATGGGAGTGGTTAGACTATCCTGGCACAAAATTTGCTGCTCAAAGCCTAGCCCTAAGGGTAATTACCATTTGCTGCCTTGTCTTCTTGTATTATTTGAATGAACTAATAAGAGGCTTTTTTTTCTTGTGATTTCCAAAAGGAAGTAGTTTATTTCAGCAGATCAACTTGTGAGAGATTGGAATCACGTTTGCAAACCCTATCCATGTAGACCCTGAGAATTGTTTGATCAACTTCATGGTGGGAAAAGTTGAACAATTCTGGACTAGGCATTTTTTAGAATTTCTTTCTATGGCAATAAAGTTCAAAGGCTAAAGTTTTATTTCTTACTGCTGTGGTGAAACTGGTAGTAGCAGAATATAATTGTCCCTCAAAACATATTCTTTTGATGTAATAACTGGTCTAATTCTTGTGATGGGCAACGATGAATGGTTGTGGAGACAGTGAGGATTGGAGTAAAAAAGGCACAGGGAGGAATTTTGGGATGGTAGAAATAGTGCTACTGGGAGACTATAATGCTGGGCATAGGGCAATAACCCATTTGTTTAAGACTCATCAAACTGAATCCTTAAATAGGAAGCAAACATTTTATGGTTTAGAAAATTTTATGGTTTAGAAAACATTTATGTTTGTTTAAAGTATAATCTCACGTAAATTTGACATTTTTAAGTGCATATACACTTGCTAGAGTTCGTGCCTTTGAATAGAGCTTCAGGGAGAACAAGTGAAAAAGATGCCTTTCCTACCCAATATCGTGAGGAAGGATTGAGGGGTAAAGATTGGCCCCAGGGACAGAGGATAACTATTGACCACCCTAGGAATGCAGAAAGGCTTGCCCAAGGACTGCACTGCCCAGCAAGTTCTTTATGGGGATGCTTGGGTGACGGACTTCAACTGTCAAGTGTACCTCAGATTACCTTCTCTAGATAATGGGCTCCTGGGCCAACACTGAACTTAATTGTGTCTACCTGGAGTGGCTTTGATCAGAAGCCAGGCCCTGCCACGAGTCTTGGTGTCCAGCTACACAAAAGGCTTTTATAGGAGCATTTATGTGGCTGTGTGAAACCCACTCAACCAACAGTTGTGAGGAGGACCTTTTCCGGCCTATGAAATGGCTTGAAAGCCCACCAATCAAGGTGCTCTGTAGGAAGCAGAAGGCAGGTAATGGCTTTTCCTTACCCCAGCCAGTGCTACAACTGCCAAAGGGGTAATTCCGCTGGGAATAAGGCCTGGCATCTTTGCTGGCTCTGAGTGTCCTGCTAGATTCCCACTGAGGAACTCTTGTTTCTTACAGGTTCTTCCAGTGGTCTTTAGTTGTTTGGCTTAGGGGTGGAATTAATCTGTCTAACTGAGTCAATAAATTTCTTACAAATTTGGTGCATTTGTATTTCCTGGCTGTTTCTACTTTACCAGAGGTCGGCAGCCAAGGACTAGTGAAGTAGGAGTTATAAGCAGGGAAGGGAACAAGAGCTACATGGAGAAACCGAAGGATCACATGCTCAAGATCCACTGAGGCCATCAACCTGGTTAATACTAAGGTGGAGCTGTTTCAGTTTTTCTTATATGTGAAAAGATTTAACTCAGAGATTCCTCCATTAGTTGTCACTATGGCTAATAACCATGCTTATTCTCAGAAAGTCTGTTCAATGATTTATTCAGCACTTCCAGATTCCCCAGTCAATGAGGTGGTCACTTGTACTTGAAATTTGCTTGCTCAGTTAGAGGTGAACATGTCTATGTGGCAAAATACTTCTCACTGACTGACCTGCTAGGACCTCCCTGCCATGTGAAGTAGAAACAGGAAGAAGGTATGCAATCTTTCTCTCATTGTGGCTCTCAGATGCTGCAATCACAAGGAACCCAGATGCTCTCTTAGAATTAAAATTACTTGGCAGTTTTGAAATCCTGATTGAGTGGATCAGACATTAAAGATGGGATTGAGGGGCAGAGATCTTTGTAAAGATGCCCCACAAAGCACAAAGTTCCTCCTTTCCTTAAAAGAACTGAATTCCTCCTGTATTGTGCATTGTACATTTATAGAAGGGCAGAGATGGGTAGAGGTGGGAGGAAAGATGTCAGAAAGCAAAGCTTGCCTGTTTAGGGATATTTCAGAGATGGGAAATTGCAAGTTATTGCCAAAATGTGAAATTTCCTTGGAGTGCTGTATCTTATAGTGTGGCCTGAGTCTAACATTTCCAGTCATGTTGCAAAATTTAAACTGTCCTATGGCCCCACTAGCTTGACACATAAATTTAACCATTACAACGTACAATGCTTGGTGGGTGGACATCATACTGACTATGCATACTTTCTGCAAGTAAGGTCACCAAGAAGATCCTTCCCTTCAGAAGATGCTTACATAACTGAAATGCAATTTCACCTGGAACTTATTTAAGGAAGGAACTGTGCCACCTCATCTAGAAGATAGAGTGCTTAACTAGATTGCTTTTTTAAACACTGAATTCAGATCTACTATGTACAATTTTGTGTCCTACATAAAACACTTAGAAGGTGACAATGAGGCAACCCTGGAATGCTTGTAGCAAGCTGAAGTCTTAGACCAGTGAGAGGACACTGCCCAAGCAGAAATCAGACGTATGGTCACCTGGGGAAACTATGCCTGGGTCTACTATCACATGGGCCAACTCTCAGAAGCTCAGACTTACATTGACAAGGTAAAGCACATCTGTGAGAAGTTTTCCAATCCTTATAGTATTGACTGTCCTGAGTTTGACAGTGAAGAAGGATGGACACGTCTGAAGTGTGGAAGGAATGAAAGGGCTAAGATGTGTTTTGAGAAGGCTCTGGATGAGCAGCCCAACAACCCCGAATTCTCCACTGGACTGGCCCTTGCCATGTGCCACCTGGATGACAAACCACAGAAGCAGTTTGCTGTTGAAGCTCTGAAGCAGGCCATTGAGCTGAGTCCTGAGAACCAGTATGTCAAAGTTCTCTTGGCCCTGAAACTACAGAAGATGAAAGAAGAAAGGGAAGGGAAGCAATTACTTGAAGATGCCCTGTTGAAGGCTCCTCATCAACCAGATGTCCTGCGAAACGCAGCCACATTTTATAGAAGAGAGGGGAACCTTGACAAAGTTATTGAGCTACTTCTGAGGGCAGTGGAATGCTCATCAAACAATGGCCACTTCTATTACCAGATTATGTGCTGCTTCAGGGAAAAAGTCAAACAAATGCAGAATACAGAAGAATCTGAAGACACTGGAAATAGAAGGAAGGTGGAAAAAGTAAGGAAACTGGTTCTAGACTACATTAAGAAAGCTGGTGAGAAGAGGCTAAGTCCTATGAATGCACCCTTTGACCTCACTGAGTTCCTGGAGGCAGAAGAATGTTATCAGAGAGCATCCAGTAAGGAGCTCCCTAAGCCTGCAGACAGTGTCTCCGTTCTGTAGATTACAACCTTCAGGAATATCAGGGAAAGTCTGAAGACACTGCTTTTCAAAGTTGTTTAGAGAGTTTTCCAATAAGCAAAACATCACCTGAGAGGAAAGAAATGAAATGTCAACTGCAGAGCAATGCTGAGAACCTTCTTCACCAAAATGCTCCCAGTTCCTGGTACCTCCAAGGGTTAACTCACAAGCTGAGTGGAGATGTGCTGCAAGCAGTGGAATGTTAAGAGAAAGGACTGGACCAGCTAGTAAGGGACATTCCTTCAGGCATAGGCAGCTTCTTCCTGTCAGCATCTGAGCCTGATGATGGCAGTGAGAAAATAGGCCAGGAGGAAGGAGCTCCCACTGCTTGACCTGATTTGGGGAGGAGGAAGGGAAACAGAGCAGCAGAAGGCCTGGAGCAGAAGTTGAGGGGGAAAGGAGTGGAAATCCAGGGAACCAAAACCTGGGATTGTTGACCAGAGTGTTCTTTCTCATTGCATCAAAGTACATTTTGAAAGAATTGTTTTCTCACTTATTATCTCCCCTGTTCACCCAGCCACACAGTTATCTGGCCAGCATTACTTCTCACTAATCAGTAGTGCAAACATGCTGCAGGCATACAAGATGCTGATTAGTTTTCAGTTCACATGCAGTTCAGCATATAATCCCCATTTCTGCCCTTGTTGCCAAGGTAACACATGCTGACTGTCTACTAACAAAAATCATGCTTACTTCCTTCACCCAATTTTCAAGCAGCCTTTTAAGCCTGAATAATTAGACTTTGACTAACTCTCAGATGTTTCTTACATTTTTATTCTTGGATTGTCCATGTGTTTATATGTATTGTTTTAATGATGCTAAGATAAATATGTGTACTTAACAGTAATTCCATAGTAAAACTAAAAATATCCTTAGAATAGAGGTTATCATATGATTTGTGTGTGTGACTAAGACAGTCATATTAATTCTCAATTTCCTCTGCTGGGGATGGAGGCCAAGTCCTAACATTCTATGATGGACATGTCCATTTTATATCCTCTAATAGCTAGTCCAGTCCCTCTGTAACACACCCACCCTTAGCCCATAGAAACTATGGCTCCTATCCCAGCCCTGGAGCCCTCATCTGGCTTTTGTGGCTGGTGAGCAGCTGCTGCTTCATCCAAGGTTGCTGTGCACCCAGAAACACTGGGCCAAAGCCTCTGAGATAGTGTGCCAGAGGCACTGATGCTAGAGGAACCTAAGGACAGAGGTCCATCCAGGCCTTCAATGGCCCTTCTAAAACTGGCAGCATCTGACATGCTGAGCTTCCTTTTATTTTGGTAAAAGTCAGATTTAGCAAACAAGGGCCTCAAACTGATCAGAAATAGTCTCCTTGACCTTTACAACAAGGAACTGCATCTTGACTTTAATTCATTTAGGAACATAGTTTCTTTTCACAGGGTAGAAGCAGGAACATCAAAGTAGATAAATTATATTCACATTTGAACATTTCCCCTCCAAAATCTTTTTCCTCCACGTCTGTGAATTGATATAAGTATAGCATCTAAAGTAAATTCTGAAATGATTCTGTAGTTTGTTTAACATCTAGAAACTTGTTTGTAGGTAGAAAAATTCTGACCATAAGTGGATCTGTGTCTCCGAATTAGAATGCAGACCTCATACTGAGAATCCACACAAAGCAGTCCTTTAGGATTAATAGACTATAATTATGGCTCTTGTAAATTTCAAAATCTGAAGTCCAGAGCATGCTAGGGATTTTCAGTTTTGAGAAATATCAGATAATTAGTCGAGCATGGTCACAAAAAACTAACTAGTACTCAGGAAGCAGAAACTGGAGATAATGAGTTCAAGGCCAGTCTGTATTATATGGTGGTGAGTTTCAGGCTAGCCTGGGCAATGTAGTTGAAACTTTGTTCAAAAATAAATAAATTAATAAATTAAGTTATAATTAAATAAAAGAAGATGGTTATAGTTACTATTTTTCACACATAAAAATTGCTAAGGAAGTAAAGTTTAGGTGTTACCACCACAAAAACAATGGTGTCTGAGGTAACACATATGGTAAATAGCTTGATGTAACCACTCCATGACTTTTACATATATGAAAACATCAAGTTCCTCCCTCTTCTGATAAAGCCAGCAGTGTTCAGTCACTGGGGCTCCCTGCGGGTGACCTCTCTGATGTGAATCCTTCCCAGAGGCCCCACCTCTAATATTATATGGTGGTGAGTTTCAGGCTAGCCTGGGCAATGTAGTTGAAACTTTGTTCAAAAATAAATAAATTAATAAATTAAGTTATAATTAAATAAAAGAAGATGGTTATAGTTACTATTTTTCACACATAAAAATTGCTAAGGAAGTAAAGTTTAGGTGTTACCACCACAAAAACAATGGTGTCTGAGGTAACACATATGGTAAATAGCTTGATGTAACCACTCCATGACACTCATGACAAGAGAAACTCAACTCACAGAATTGCAAACTGCAGACAAATCATGTCTGAGATTTGAAAGGAGTTGGCTGGGACAGGGATAAAGGAGGGAGGGGAGTTTTAATCTACTGAGGTCAAGACAGACCACTCAAGGGTAGGTTGCAGAAGAAAAGAATTTTAAAGGTAGCCATGATTGATTTTTATCTGAAAGCCTCAAAGGCTAGACATTTTATTGTGATGAAAACCATTAAAATAAGATTTGCCTTTTTATTGGATATTAGGAAAGGTGAAACCCATCCAGGCCTAAGATGCATTTCATTTGAAGGTACTCATTCCTCTCTTTCCTGCTTTGTTTTATGCAGGTAAGTTACAGAAAATATTTTCTTCTCAAAAGTATGCTGACCTTTAAAGAAAACCCATGCTGCCATGTTTATTTCTGCACTAATCACAAGAGCCAAGATATGGAATCAATTTGATTTATTTGTTTATTTGTTTATTTTTGGTGGGGCTGGGGTTTGAACTCAGAGGTTTGTGCTAGAATGTTTAATCAATGAACAAATAAAGAAGATGTAATATACACACACACACATAGTGCAATATTATTCAGTCATAAACAAGTTTGAAATCCTGACATTTGTGCCAGCACAGATAGAACTGAAGGTCATTATTTTAAGTGAAATAAGTCAGGCACAGAAAGACAAATAACACATGTCCTCACTTATATGTACAAGTGAAGAAAGATCTCATAGAAGCAGAGAGTAGAATAGTGATCAAAGAGGCTGGGAAAAATGTCATGATCAATGAAGAGGGAATAGTTAATGGTCAGGGTGCAGTTGGATAGGAAGAATAATTTTTAATGTTTTATTACACAATAGGGTCATTAAGGTTGAGAACACTGAACTGTATATTTCAAAGAAGCTAGAAGAGATGTTGAATGTTCCCACCACAAAGAAGTGCTAAATATTTGAGGTGATGGATATACCAATCACCCTGACCTGATCATTGCACATTGGATAACACTGAAATATTATAATAAATTCCATGAATATGTATAATTATTATATGTCAATTAAAAACTTTTAATTAAAATTTAAATATTTAATGTTTTAAATAAAATTAATAAGAGAGGGAGAAGAGTAAGAAAAGAGAATCCCATTTCCAGGACATCTTGTCCATCAAACACTTGTAATTGCCTGGTGGGGGAGGGCTGCAGGATGATGGAGGATGGAGTCTGCTTCCTATTAGCTCTTCAAGAAGTGAGAAAGAGAGGACTGCCTAAGCCCAGTCCCAGGGATTGCCATTAAATAGTCTATAGAGCAGTTTTGGAGAACTGGATGCTGTTGGAAGAGGTTCATTGCAAAGAGGATCTGATTTTTATTTATCAGTTCATGGTCATGAAATCATATTAGTCTGTGCTCTACACATGGGATTGACAAGGCCCTGTCCAGACTGTTGGAAGCCATCCATGAAGACATTTTACAGCAACATGTTCCAGGTATCCAGTCTCCTGACATGAGGAATCTGGGAGTGAGGGTGGGGGTGGGGAAGAGATCATTAAATTGTGCTACCCTAAAACTCACATCAGGCTTCCTCTATTCCAGAGGCTCAAGTCCACAGGCAGGTTGTACTGCTCCTCCCAAAACTTTTTAAATAGGGAATTACCTGAGACATAACCTGGCACCCACTGGTTAGTGTTCATCCTTTTCTATCCTTTCCAATGAAGACCTACATATTTCTCTCTCTTTTTCACACACACACACAAACATAAAGCCAATACTAACATTAATAACTAATTTTTGTTTTCCTTGGTTATAGCTTACTCTGCCTTGATTTTTATTGCATTACTTCAGCATTTCATGATTGTTCTTTTTATAAATAAGAGCTATTATAACTATTATTGTTGTCATTTTACAAATGAAGTGTTTGGAAGTGAGAATGAATTGCTTGAAATCACATAGGTAAAAAGTTACAGTTTGGGTTGTTAACCAGATTTCCTATGCTTCCCAATCACAAAGGCATATAGGAATAAAATATGTTTCTGCTCCTTATTTGCTCAATTTTGAAAATGAATAGGAACTTAAAGAAGTTGAAGTGCTTAGCATCCCACTTATTGAATAAAGACCACACTTTTCACACAGAGTGTGTCTATGACTCATAACCCAGAAGGTTAAAAGATGGCACATGTCAGGGAGTATGAACCCATGTCAAGCCAGTACAGCATCTCTCCTCCTTATGCCAAGGTAGCCAAGCATTATTGTTTGCATTAGTCATCCACCAAAGGCAAAAGGAAAGGGAATGAGAGCCAGCCCATGTTTGGCTCACTGAGGTAAGTGTCTTGGAGAGGGTCTGAAAGCAAGGTGCCAACAGGGCCATGATCCCTTTAAGACTGAGCAAAATCCTTCCATGCCTTTTTAGCTGTCAGTCTCATTCTTGTCTACACATGACATTCTCCCTGTGCGTCTTAATATCGTCTTGCCTCCCTTTGTATCTCTGTGTCTCTTTTCCTGTTCTTATAAAGACATCAGTCATGTAAATCAGAGCCCACCCAATGATCTCATCTTAATTATATCTGCAAAGATCCTATTTCCAAATCAGTTTGCATTCAGAGACACAGAGTTGGGAGCAGGACCCTCTAGTTCTTCATGGATAGGACAGGGCATGAAGGAGTAGTTAGGACAAAAGCTGCTTCTAATCATTTAATTACTTCTCAGCATGTTAACAATTGTTTGTGAGAAAAGGGAGATCATACGGAATACTGAGTTTATTAAATGAAGTAACTTTGCCCACCTCTGCTTTCCTTGGGAAAGGAGCAGTTGTTTCTATATTTTAATGGACCAAATTGGAAACAAAGAAAGGTGTTTTTCCTAATTTCAGGAGCATCTCAGGAAGAGAAAGTTTTATGTCATGCTCAGGATTTTTTGAGCTAATCTAAGTCATTGGAGGATTTAATCTCTTTCAGCTGGAATTCAAATCAGAGAAAATGAGTTTAATGATATAACACCAGTGATTTTTTTCCCTATGTTTTCACCACCCAGTATAGTTTCTCTGGACTCCATAAATGTATGAAGCCCAGAGGTAATTGAAACAGATTCTGTAGTGACAACACTAAGCTCCTGACAACATGGTAGATGTTGACAGTGCCAGACTTTACCTGAACCCCCATGCTTCTGAAAAAACCTATAGTCAATTGTCCTCCCCCCTTATCCTCATTCTCCTCATTCATGTTTGGAAAATGGTTTACTGCAAACAGCTACTGTTTGTTCTGAATGTTTGTGTGTTTACCATCACCACCAAAAGAAAAA